ACACTGGTACCCATCCCTACCTGCGACCCTACAGTTGGTTCTGCAGATGAAGTCAGGAGAGGTTTGCACACGTGCACACAGGAAGCTTTAATGAAAGAATCACTGCTTCCTGTCAGATCGTCTCAAATATTAAAGCTCATGTTTGCTTCCCGTCGCTGTCTGCATCTGTTTTATTTTGCCAGTGACTTTCTTTGCCTTCCACCTCCTGTCCTTGTCTGTGTTCCCACCTTTGTCATGTGCTGCCCCGCCCTCATCGTTCACCTCCGACTCTGGTTTTTCTGCTGAGCTTCATTAAAGCTCGTCTAAAGATAATGAAGCAAAGGCCAAACGTGGCATTAACGCGGTGACACCACATCCTGAGCACAGGTCAGCACATCTCGCCGCTCGTTCTGGAGGCGGGTGGAATACATCCCCCTCAGAATCAGCTGTTATATTTAATGAGGCCGTGCAGATGATCCTGCAGGTTACGAACACATGCTTCACCTGGTCTATTGTCTTCTGAGCAGACACCTCTGCCACAGGCTGAGGAGAGCCCTGAAAGTTTACCCAGAATGCACTTTGGGATCAAACATGAGGCACCAGCGCTGCTTCCTGCAGATATTAAACTGCTGCAGGTTATTCTCGGCCTTGGTGTAAATGTGATTGTTTTTTTAAAAAAGCTGAAATTAATTTTTAGCCCTGAAATGTTCACCTGGAGGTCTGCTGCAGGTGTGACGTCACGACTCCAAATGCCTAAATACTTACAGCTCCACATTTGTACTCCTGAAACTGAAAATAAAGACTGTTACAGCTCTGTGGCAGACTGGAGCTGGGATGGAACCTCCTGAGCTGCAGCCACGTCGGGCTACATGAAGGTTAAAGGTCGCATGGCTACATTAAATAAACTGAAATAACTGTATTTAAAGAAAACTACCATAACTTGGGGACTACTTTCAGATTTGAGCCCAAATTAAAGAAAAATCTGCAACACTTCACTTCATGGGCTCCAGCTGGAACTCCACCCACACATGGGCACGGTTCAGGTGTGGGACACCCGCCCTGACCTCTCTGCATCCACCCACCAGTGCGAGTGCTCCTCCAGCGTCTTCACGGGCTCCTGCACGCTGCGGACGTCCCAGAACTTGACCTTGCAGTCGTCCCCGCAGCTGGCCAGGTAGTACTGGCGGTTTGGGTTAAAGTCCAGGTCGCGCACCAGCTGACCGTGGGCGTTCTCTATACAGTAGATCTGACTGGATAGAGAGGGAGAGAGAGCGGTTAGAGGCATGAAGGCAAATGCACAAGAGCAGAAACGAGCAGGATGAGAGTGAGAGGAAGCAACGAATGCGAGGAAGAGGAGGAGGCGTAACAACAAGAGCAGATATGAGGGAGAGGAAGCTTCACCGAGGCTTCCCGGGTAAATCAAAGCCTTTCTGCGTCGCCGTCTGTCAGCGAAGGCCAGCCTCAATAAAGTGGCCAACACCGGTGGTGGTAAATTACAAAGGCGAGCCTCACAACGGCACAGCCTCGACT